CTTAAGCAGAGGTAAGTCTCAAAACTAAGCTCTCGATGTTCAAGTTGATCTTTATGCCCATGTTTACCTACGGCCATGCATGACAGAAGCTTCGATCCTTGGTACGAACGTCCGAAATGGGCTTTCTGAGACGAGTCGCTGGTATTGCGAGTCTGTATTTGGTCCGGAATACAGACTACCAAGAGAACCTTGGTGTACGTACAGTCTTTGTTTCTCCAGATTGAGAGTCATAGCTGCGATGGTCTGGGCACGTATTGGGAATGCCTCCAGAAAGGAAGGCTAAACAAGTGTTGCTTGCCAAAGAGACCGGCAGAAGGTCCAGGGGACATCCAAGATTATCCAGGTGCAAATGTATGGAGTCCGTTCCAGCCTTCATTGACTTTTGCCGTAGCTCACACTGAGCACAGGATCGGGAACGTTTGAAGCACTGTCTGGTGTCTGCCTCCTCGACGCGAAAGGACAAACGGTCGTGGAGAATAAAGAGGAAGAAGACAGGAGAACATAAACAGCCGGTGTAAAGACCTCGTCGAGATAGATGGCAAGACAGCCTGATGTAATCTGTGGCAATAGAGTGCACGCGAATCGCGTAAGAGAATCTTCTGGTAATATCACTGAGAGGTCTTCATCCAGTAAAAAGTTTGCGATATAGTCTGCTCCGACCAGTCAAATGACAGTAAGACATAAATGGCACTACGCGTCTGAACGGCGTAACGTTTGAAGAAAGCGATGTGGTTCGCGCTCGAAACCATCGAATCGTACGATGGAGAGAAGACAGATGCCGAACATCGACAGAATCAATGCCTATGAACAAACGAGGTTAGAGGCGTCTCTGAGTTGTCGTCTGGCTCGTTGCTCGCTACTACGACTGCCAGGGTTCGCTGCCTGTACAGTTCTGTTGTCGGTGACGTGATTAGCGGTTCTTCTGTTTGTACTGAAAACTACGATTTTTAGAGATGACAAATCTTAAGCAGCGACCGAGTAGAAGACATCGCGATGTAAGGAAGATACAGCGACGACGTGGCACACGTATGGTATCGAGTTTTGTTGCCGCTACGTGATGGTCAACCGAATGGCGTCCAGAAGACGCTGCGTCGACGGCTGCGGCGACAGCGACGACGAGACGGTCGGCGTTTTGCAGTGACTCATGTGATGCTTGCGGCGTGTCGACCGGGCCAGAGACGTATGTGTATGGCTGGTTTTTGCCGATTCATCAAACTGAATCACGTGCGTACATGATGGTGTCTATCCAGAGGAATGTAACGATAGAAGTACGTGAGTGATAGAGGGTGAGGAATGAGTGACGACAACGAAAATGACGCGAAAATGGAGCTATGGTGCGACGAGAAACGGCGACTATGGACGTGGTGATGACGACCACACGACGGCGGCCTTTCGCGCAGCACACTTACCATCTAGGTTTTCGGACGCCTCTGTTTCGGCCAAGGTGACCATGCTGCGCTGAACTGCCTTGTGCGGGTCGTATATGCCGTTGACGTGGCCATTCTTGGCTGCGCGCAAGCGTACCGGCGATGGCGGGCTGCATTCGTCGTGGCCGGCTGCGGCCGGCGTAACGGCCGGGGCAGCAACAGCGTGGTCGACGACGACGTTCGACCGCATCAGGTGTTGAGGCTTAGGGCGAAGCATAGGCTTCTTCGACTTGTCGTCCATTGTCACTGCGGCTTCTGCTGATGAACAGTAATGATGGTAGACGCTAGCGACAGGCTACCGCTGTTTGCTTGGCCAACGACCTAGCGATAGAGTAAACGAGTGGATATTAAAAATGAAAATATAAACGATAAACGACTGTGACTCGAACCAGACGACGATCATCTGGCAGTTATTAAGAGACGACGTCGGCAAAACGGTACGCGCGAAGAGGGAGGACAATGCAATGCAATGTAACGCGCGTGCCGCCGCGCCGCCACCGTCGCTCTATCGCAACGTGCTGAATGCCAGCCGAGCCCCGCCAAGGCGAGGCCAGCCGAGCGGCAGCGCATCGGCGGCGACGGCCCGGCTGCGGAACGATCGGCAGGCCAGGGCCAGGGCCAGGGCCAGCGCGTGGAGTGGAACAAGGGGAACTGAGGCGCGGCGATGCGAACGTCTGTCCGTCCGTACGTCCGCCATTGCTTTGCGATTGTCACTCTGATCGTCGGTCGGTCTATGAATGAGTCAGTGCGCACAAACG